GAATGTGTTAGTTAGTGTTTGAGCGCTTAATCGGCTGCTCGCACTGTATGCTTCCCGGGAGGCTGAGAATGTTTCGGAGTGTACTATGGTCTGCTGGGGTAATAATATAGTGTAAATCGCATAGAGCCTGCTGTTGAGCGGGGATATGCGCTATACAAATGCTATCTATTACTATTATTATTATTGTCTGAAAGCTTTACCGTTTGCCTTGCTTTCAAAGAAAATGATACCCATCTATTTTGAATAATAGTGAAAATGTTTGGGATTGGAGGAGGTGAGGTAACATGATTTCTGCAGAAAATTTAGCGAAAAAAAAGGAGCCAAAGTTTGGTAACTTCAATAGCTTGAGAGTCCTTGAAACCCGAAAATGTATTAGTTTGCCTTTAATCAGCGTTTTTTCCAGTAAAATTCACATTATGGAAAAGACATATCATATTGACACAAACGGTGTTGAGCCCCAAAAAAAATACGTAGAAAATTACCAAATTGCCACCAAAAAAAAGACTCCTGATTCTTCGATTTCATTACTTTGACGAGCGTCTGATTTCACCACAATGCCTTATAATACATACTGTTCAAAGATACCACCCTTTCGCCCAAATAATGGTAGTTTCTGGGTGTCATTCCACCAGTTTGTGAGTTGCACCCCTTGTTCATGAGATAGCGGATTACGGTTGTGCATTTCTATGATCCAAATAAGATCATCTTGGAGGCGGCCTATACTCGCTAGGTATGATACATCTCACCACACAGACGGAGATATTTGAAAGGAAACTTTCCTACTTGGAATGTAAAAATCGGCATGTTTTATGCGCCGAAATAGAATGAGCTTAACCATTATACCACATACACGGTAGATCTTGGTGAACCGCTGAAGGTGAAGAGTAACCTTGCTTCCAAATTAACAGTATATCCGGCTCTCTGACGCCAGCTGCGCACAACAAAGTGACAGCAGAACAAGAGGACCGCTGCACTGAGGCGAAAGCAATTTTTGAACGAAGGACTGTCTGTGTTTTAGGGACGGAAAAGAGTCTGCGTAAACCTTTCGAACGCATCGGTTTAGAAATACTGTATAGTAGTCTTCTGTTTCTGTTTGACTATAGCAGCTCTGGGAGAGAATACTGTATGAGGTAAGGGAACATGATTTTTCTAAATATTGTTTGACGTACACTCACATACAAATACACATACATACATTCACACAAACAAACATGCAAACACACCCATACACACACACATACACGAACGAACACTCACATACAAATACACATACACACACATTCACACACACACACACACACACACACACACACACACACACACACACACACACACACACACACACACACACACATACACGAACAAACACTCACACACAAATACACATACAGACACACACAAACATACACACACACACACACACACACACACACACACACACACGCACATACGTTTTCGAACGCGTTAGTGCTTGCAAGCAACAGTGCCCATGTACCATTCTGTCACTAGTACGTAGACAATTATTTTCAAACAGTTGCAGGGAGGAGAAAGACGACATGAACGAGAAGAGAATGTTTAAAGAATATTAAATCTGAGGTTGATAAAGCGGGATAGACACCTGTCCAACTAATCGTTTGTGTATGATCCGGTCAGGGAAAACTAGTATAAGCTTACGTGACATCGATTTTATTGTCTTAAAATGTATTAAGTAATATCACGCAAATAGTTGCATTTTGTCCTATAACAAAAACAACGTAAGTCAGTAAGAAATTGTACAGTTTTACGCACCCTTTTTTGTAATTGAAGACACGAGACCTCCGAAAGAAATGCCAACACTCCAATTGGACGAGCTAAATGTGTTAAAGCCTTGACAACTCCCAAAAACAATACGAGTTCAAGAATACCCTTTCGGGATTTATTGAAAATATAAGAAGCAAACAAGTAGCAAATATGTGAAAATAACAAGAAATCATCTTTTATAACAAACAATGTTTAACCCTATCCGTACGTCAGGTTTTACTATGGTATCCATACGATGTGGCACCACTTTCCAAAGAGCAAATTTACTTGTTAATCCGATCCGTACGCTTTATATAACAGTCTGTCAAAATGATTTTTTGAGAAATACTGAAAGTTTCAAAGAGATCTTCGTACTAGAAGTATTCTAAAATGTGAATAATACAACACAACCCCGGGGATACAAAATGACCCCAGGGCGTACGGATAGGGTTAACACATTAATAAACCATGTTTGATAAGAACCACTACGACTCCACTCATAGTGGTTTAAAATTAATGCTGAGTAGAAACTGCTCTCTATATTACGCTGCTTACATACACAAAATCTCTTGGCTGCCATTTTTGACCAGGCGCACTATTACATTACTGATTACAGGAGTCTCTTGAATGTGAATATTTTTACTCACTTTTGGTGTTTCATCTAGAATCTAGAACGTACATTTTCAATTTTTGTTCTTTCCATCACATTATAGATAGATAGATAGATAGATAGATAGATAGATAGATAGATAGATAGGTCGCACCCAAGGTTCAGATTTTGTCGTACTGTGTTCTCTCTTAAACACACCGGAGTTGACGATATATTCGCTCACAGTGTGGCAGAAAGAAGAAGAAAAAGGAGCAGATCACATAATATTGGGCACATAATATATATGGTCGGGCAAGTATTCAGTACATCTCCAGAGGAATTATACACTAAGATCGCATGACCCTGGCTCAAAGGCCCAACAAGCTCTCCCATCAATTCAAGGCTTTCCATCAGCTTAGCCCAGTCCGATTGGAGAGTGACGTTGGATTCGGACCCCCCCCCAAACGCCATCCAAGAGGCCTCTTAAGTAGCCTTTACAATATTGAAATAGGTGTTGAACCGCTATAAAACAGTACATAATGGTTACAACCCTGAATGACCTGCCTCGAGTGGCAGTCGCTAATAAAAAAGATTGGTAATGATGAAGTATAGCCGTACCCCACTCCCTCACCCCAATTTAATTACATGTCTTCGTGATCACAGCCTGCTGTCCCTTGTTTCTGTAAGGCACGACTGCATCCCCACAGTGACGCCCACGGTGACCCCCACGGGCACCGTGACTGTTGTGCACTAAGTCAAGCGGTTCAAAATTTAGGGCTATACTTTACTTTCACTACAACTTCTCCAAAATCGAACAAAATATAAGCTCTTCTCGAGATTTTACGATCAACCTACCGACGTTCGGCTCAGCATGCGACTATTTCCCACCGACTCGAGCTATTGGAATGTTGGGATAATGGTAGAGCTCCTGGCGAGAAAATTGATGTTCTCGGGGACTCCCCTCTGCTTACAATTTATTTCTGTACAAGCGCCCGACATCTGTCCAAACAATGTAGCTTTGGGTGGGAAGTGTTCGCTAAAAGAATTATCTGTAGATGTTTTACGCCCCCATCGACATATTATTCTAGGTCGTTTAGGAGATACGGTGTCGTTTGCTGTGTAGCGGTTTGGCACTTTGCTGTCATATGCGGGAGGCACAAGTTCGATTTCCAAAGCGGAAGAAAATATAATCGAGTATGTATCTCGGTCTTTCTGCTGAGAAGTATCCCTCTCATCCGGGTTGGCCCTGACAGACAGCGTTGAAATCCTGCCTCCAAAATTTAATTATCTAAATTGACTGGATGTGGCGTCGGTGGCCTAGTGGTTAGGCCCTTGGAATGGCAACCGTAAGGTCGTGGGTTCAAATCACATCAGGGGCCCGACGTTGTGTGCTTGGGAAAGGCACTTTACACGAATTTTCCTCACTTCACCTAGGTGGAAATGGGTACACAGCTTTAGACAACGTAATATCTTGTCAGTTTGTTAGTGTTAGAGCGCCTAATCTTGCACTGTGTGCTTCTCGAGAAGCTGAGAATGTTTCGGAGGATTTTATGGTCTGCCGGGGGTAATAATACAGTGTATAGCGTATAGAGCCTGCTGTTAAAGCGGGGGTAAGCGCTATAAAAGTGCTATTTATTATTCATTATTTATTATCAAAAACAGCTACATTAAGAGTAGGAGACAGGAGCCTCAGACTTAAACTGGTAGAGCCCATTATCTTGGTCTAAGAGGGATATGAAAATTCAGCAGACAGAGGGGGAGATGAGTTTTTTTTAAAAGAAGAAATTTGTTCCTCAAGTGAATCGGTTTCACCACTGCTGCATGTGACGCAAAGAGACTAACTGCAACACCACAGACTACTTAACTGCAAAGTGTATCATTTGAACATACTTTTGATAATTAACACATACACAGCATAATAATTAGGATGGTCATCCTTAAGGAATTTGCTTTTATTTCAGATCTACAGGTAGGATGTTTTTGAGAAAGAATCGACTGGTTCTGTGACTGTGTGATTCATAATGTCTCATTAATATTTTCCTGACGCGATGCATTATTTTTCAGAGAGAAGCGATGGGAATTAAAGTGGGATCGAGTCTTTTGGGAAAACTGTCCATACAGGCAAAGAGAATGATGAAATATTATAATAAAATGTTAAGATAGACTGATTAGTAAGCATCACGTTGAGCAAGTAGTTTATTATCTATACAGCCAGTTTAAGTGACACAGTCGTTAGATTGCCAGACAGATAGTTAGTTAGTTTGTTTTATTTGTTTCTCTGTTAGTTAAAGAGATAGTTAGTTAGTTATTTAGTTAGTTAGTTAGTTTGTTTGTTTGTTTGTTTGTTTGTTTGTTAGATAGATAGATAGATAGATAGATAGAGAGAGAGAGAGAGAGAGAGAGAGAGAG